CCAGCACAAATGTCCTCCGTGAAGCTGCATCCACCGGCCTCAAAGCCTTGTTCTTGAGAAATCAACTCTGATGGATGGGCCACTGTGTTTGGATATCCGACTACCACCTCCCTCACCAGATTCTCTTTTCCCAGCTCTCCATTGGCCAATGATCAAAGGGCAGCTAAAGAAAAGGGTACAAAGACACACTTAAAGTTGCTGTCAAGCACAGAGGCATTGAGACCAATGGCTGGGAGGAGCAAGCTGCTGACCATTCGGTGTGGAGACACCTGGTCCACCAGGGCGCACACCACATCAAGGCCCAATGACTTGATACTGAGGTGGAACGGTGGCAGTGGAGGAAGGAGGAGACCAACCTGGGTGTGTCAATCCCACTCCCCCACACAACAACACGCCCCCATTACAAAAGAATGTGTGTATCCAGAATCAGGCTCCTCAGTCACCTGAGGACCCATCAAGCCTGACAGACACCATCCTCAACTTCGAGGGACTGCCGCCGCTGATTTTCCTGGACATTTTGCTGTTAAAACCAACAGGAAATCAAAGATAGAACAAAACTCTCATAAGAAACATACATTAGACCTGTATGAAAATGAACCTTCTTACTATCCTTTCTTCAGGCAGACCATCCTTTGATAACTCTCACAATCATCTTGGACGAGATAACTTGCTGGATTATGAAGCAGGTTTCTGAAATACAGTATTTCTATTATATTAACATAAATCTGAAATTAAAAGATTTATCTCTGTTCTGAATGTTAACTTCTGCCAGACATAAAGTTAAGGGAACTGACTGTGTCTTTATCTACAAAGCCAACCTTCTTCTCCCCAACTTTTCTGAAAGTTCAAATGTAGAGGACTGCTTTAACATACATAATGGAAAGTAAATGTCAGACTAACATGGTAGATAAATAGTTTCATAGTGCTTAGGGTCAGAAGGGACCTAAACAGATCATCAGGTCCAACCCCCTTCCCCCGGGCAGGAACAAGGGCTGGGGTCATAACTCCCCAGCCAAATATCTGTCCAGCCTCCTCTTGAAGACCTCCAAGGTAGGAGAGAGCAGCACCTTCCTTGGGAATCCATTCCAGAGCCTGGCAGCCCTAACTGTAAAGTAATGTCTCCTGATGTCCAGCCTGAACCTTCTCTCTAACAATTTGTGGCCGTTATTCCTAGTAACCCCCCGGTGGTGCCCAGGGGAACAGAGCCTCACCCAATTTCCGCTGGTCCCCCTGGTGAGTTTGTAAACAGCCACCAGATCCCCTCTCAGCTTTCTCTTGTGAAGGCTGAATAGATTCAGGCCCTTCAGCCTCTCTTCGTAGGGCCTGACCCACTGCCCCTTGACCGTGTGAGTGGCCCTCCTCTGGACCATCTCAATGCTAGCCACATCCCTCTTGAAGTGCAGCACCCAGAACTGGACACAGTACTCCAAATGCAGCCTGACCAATGCCACATAGAGGGGAAGGGTCACCTCCCTGGACCTGCTTGTGATGCATCTGTAGATGCACGACAAGGTGTTAGCCTTACTGACCGCTTCCTCACATTGGTGGCTCACGTTCATCCAGCAGTCAACAATGACTCCAAGATCCCTTTCTGCTACTGTGTTAACAAGAAGGGTATTCCTCAGCCTAAAGGTGTGTTGCTGGTTCCTTCTCCCTAGATGCAGCACCTTGCACTTTTCTGCGTTGAATTCCATCCTATTCTCATCCACCACCTCTGTAACCTGTCTAAATCTAGCTGGGTTCTGTCCCTCCCCTCCAGCGTGCCCACCTCATCCCACATCTTGGTGTCGTTAGCGTAAATAGGAAGGAACAGCATATAATTATTAAATAGTGTATCATAATGTGGGATGCCGAAATGCAGTACTTCTAATTCAAGATTGCCTCCATAAGATCACTGAGGGGTATTCAGTTCTCCTCCTCTCACTCCCTGATCCATATCCAAATACATGCCCAGTGATTCTGTAATAAAACCTAATAACTTCTTTATTTTTAGACCTGCCTTTCCACCATAACTATTAATTATTCTCATGGATAGATAATTTCATGGGAACCTACAAACAGCTAAGATTTTCTCTTGTGCATTTTGTTGTTGTTTGTTGTTGTCAATTCATAATTTAAAATAGATATACAAAACATTAGAAACTTTTGGAGCTCTGTGTTTTGTTCAAATTTGAATGATTTCCCTGTCTTTAAAGTAAATATAGTAATTTTCAAACTGGATTGGGTTATTTTAACAATTTAAGAAACAAAACTTAGAATGGAATGAGGCTTTCAGCCATAAAGTAGGATTTCACTCAGAAAAGTTGTTTGTGTAAAAAGGGCATCTTTTCAATATAGCTGCTTCTTAAGTACATTCTTCATCATATCTGAAGATGAGGTTTCTTTTTTTTTCTTTCTCTAACAATTATGCAGCTAGCATGGCTGTAGGAGAATGAGGTGGATTTTATTGTGCTTCATATGACATCAACAGAATGATTAACTAAGTGCTGAATGCAGAATCTTTACTATGTGACCTAGAAAAAGCAGAGCTAGACTTTGCCTGGCAGTTGGAGCTATTGGGTGAAATCTTGGTCTACTGAAGACAGTATTGTTTTTTAATGAGGACAGGATTTCATCCAGCATCTTTTTAGTTGTAACCTGAGTAGACTTTTTCCATTTGGGAAATAATACATGTGGAACCTCACAAAACTCTAAATCCTTTGCAACCAACCAACATGCACTTCTATTCTGAAAGAAAAACCATGTTCCTAGCCCCAATAACTTGATTAGTATAACAAGTTCTTTTATATTTGTCATGTTTGTTAGTGGGACATTATGTCCAGGGTTTATATTTTTATTGACTCCAAGTGCTATCCCCTTGCCACAGTCTCTGTAAAAGGAGAAAATTGCGATGGTCAGTTTTTCACTGTTTATTTACAGTGAAATTAAAGAATGAAATTAAACCAGATTAAATTATAACAAATTAAATACAATTATTTATGACTTGTTAATGGGGTGTCTTGAATGTTTCCTATTGTTTTTATGTACTAATATGGCATGCATAGTCTCATTGAAAAGTCAATGTTATGCTGTATCCATTTATGTTGCTGGTATCACAATATAGATTATGTCATCCCATCTGTATATTTATGATTTGGGACATGGTTTAACCAAGGAAATTAGGGATGCAAAATTAAGGAAAAATGCCACTCCCAAACACAGGCAGAAGGAGACATTATTGGACTGGGCAACCAAGGCATTGTTTGCCTGTAACAGGGAAATCAATCTATAGAAAACGTGTCTGAAAGCAATTGCCAACCAGCTAGAGGAATTCCAGGTGCTTCTGGGAGGCCACAGATTTCTGGAGGATTTTGGTGATGTGTGAACAGTTAATATAATGCTAGCTGAGGAGGGGGACTTGGAGGTTTTGAGGGGGTTGTTTGTTTTTTGAGGGGGGAAAGGGAGGGGGTTGAGTCTAGCTACAGTAGAATCGAGGTGTTTTGGATTTTTCCTAAGATAGAGAAGGGTCCAAGGCCCGAGAATCCAGGGCTGATCAGCAGAAAGGCTGATCTCTAAAAACACTGGCAGGACTCTCAGGGGGGTTAGGGTATAGCCAGTTCAGAGGATAAGAAACTGTATTTGTCTTTTTATTCTGTTTCCAAGCTTACGGTTAGTTTTGCTTGTATAATTCTTTTCTCCCACACAGTAAATCTTTCTGTTGCTCTGTCTCGTTACTGGTTGTCTGTGGAAGAAGTGATCTCTGAGTGAGTGATATTCCAGGCTAGCCCTTTCTATGGAAAGGGGGACCTAAAATCTCTCTCACAACCCAAAGGGGAGGCCGCCTAGAACTGGTTGCAGCTGCAGCTACGAGCCAGTATAAAAGCAGTGATGCTGAGGCTTGTGGAGATAAGTTATGCTAGAACAAGCCTCACTCTATTCCTTGGCACAAATAGTGGGAAAAAGTTGGTACTTTGGGAGTGCCCTGTAGACACGTTTGTGACTCTTATCACAGTATATAGTAAAGATGATACAGCAATAATGTTTTGGAATCCATTCAAAGTTAATGCTAAAGGTGAAAATGCCTACATGGTTATGTGAAAACTCTAAATGCAAGTGAGTATCTTCTTTCTTCTATTCTGTTTCAAATGGCCCAAGTGCATATGGCCTACAAATCTGTAGATTGTTTGTTTGCTTGTTTGCAGAACAAATCATGTGCTACAAATAATTCATGTAATCACCTTCTTTTATTCTGCTTCTGATTTGTTTAGGAACAGAAGCATCTTATTTATTTGAAATAATTCACAGTTTTCACTAAATAATTCTTAGTCATCTTCTTAATGGCTTTGCTACTGTTCTGTGATTGCATGATTTCTAGAGTCTTTCTATATTCAAATACATCCATTAGTATTTTTCAGGTATTTAGACATGTTGTATCTAAATGTCATAGAAAAATCTGTAATAAAGTTGTGAATATTACAACTAAATATGCATCTTGTGTTTGAATGATTAGTCATATAAAATCTCCACTCAGGAAAAAAGTATCTATACAGAATTATTACCAGTAATGTAACTAACCAACATAAAATACATTTCTAATTAGATACTCAATTACAATTTGCAGCATCTTGACCAGGGAACTAACTAGCACAAATTGCAAGATGGGACTTTTATAATAATTATAAAAATTGAAATGTGCTTTTAGTAAATATTTCAGTGCTCAGTTGCAGGATTTATATTTTTTAATATTTGCTTTCATCAAACAAACTTTCAAATGTTATGGAAGACAGACTATAAGGGTTATAAACTCCATCTAATTGGTTAGTTTTTAAAGAAGAATTATTTGTTATTTGCTTCTTTCTATTCATAATAAAATACTGTTCAGTTTCTTTAAATCACTTGTAGTAATATATTTTGATCAATGGATTCATTTACCTGAATTTTTCTAAGCATGGTCACTCATCACTGTCTGAATAATTAAGCATTCCAGTTGTATTCATTATTATTCATGGTTCTCTTTACAGGATGTTCTGGCCCACTGGGAATAGAAGGAGGAATTGTATCAAACCAACAAATTACTGCATCATCCACACATCGAGCTCTTTTTGGGCTCCAGAAGTGGTATCCATACTATGCAAGACTTAATAAGAAGGGTCTTGTGAATGCTTGGACTGCTGCAGAAAATGACAGATGGCCATGGATCCAGGTAACAGATGGAACTGTGTAAAAGAGAAAGGAGAGGGGGTTCTCTTAGATTCAATTGCCAGAATCTCTTAAACTTATGAAGACTAGTGATAAATTAATAGTGAGCATCTTATTCACTGTCATAAAGGCACCCTAGACTAAAGAGGGTTATTAAGTTGGGAAGAGGATACTAATTTTAGCTACTCTGTGTGCAAAATATACATATCTTTATCTAAAGGAAAAAATAGATCTATCCTTATTCTTCCCTGTGACTGTAAGAGTCTCCCAGACCTAAAAACAGGTTTATTAAGGTACTTATCTAAGATGCTGCTTTTCACATATGTCACGTCAGTCCATTAGCCATAGGAGCATAGCAGCAGCAGTTGTTGATAGATGGCCTTTAACACACACATGAATGAAAAATAAAAAGTCATGGATCCAGTTTTTATTCAGGCAAATCCTCTACCTCCTTTACTGGGCATGTTGCCCAAGCAGAGACAGCAAGTCTAGACTCTGTATTTTTACCCACTGTCTATCTATTCAAGAGGTGTACCCACCTAAAATGATCAATTCATATGTTTCGTATGTTGTAAGGGAGACGGCGGAAACTGTTGTTATGGTCAAAATATATCCACTTTTCACTTCATGCTCAAATGTATCTTTGGGGTGAAAAATTCTCTATTCTTCATCTCTGTCCAAAAGAAAATGTTTCATGAAAGTTTCAAATGGACATATCTACTTCGGGAACCAGATTCTTTAGTCTTGCAAATTGTATAGTCATCTGTGCCAGGGTACTTACTTTTTATAGATATCATGACAGCAAAAGTTGCAAGGCAATGAAATATAAATTGTTACGGCTCTGTGCTAATTAAAAGTGTATTAAGATTAGTATCAGATTACTCATTGTTTCTGTAGTTCTCATTTTGTAAGGATGCATGTATTGTATTGGAATGCTGCCAATCTCCAAAGGGAAGCTTACCATTTCCCATAGATCCCTGCATGATGCTGCGAATCTGCGCCAAATGCTGTCCTGGAGTCATGTAGCCTGGGACTGGGACTTGAAGTTCCCCTTTTGGGACTGTCCTGCCCAATTAGGGATGGGTGGTCACCTAGTTTCCTCCCATGAAATCAAGTGGTTTACAAATTCCTCAGTTTATGCATTAAGAAAGACTAGGAGAGAATAGTTTCATAGTTAGTAGGGTCGGAAGGGACCTGAGCAGATCATGAAGTCCAACCCCCTGCCATGGCAGGAAAAAGTACTGGGGTCAAACAACCCCAGCAAGGTGTTCGTCTAACCTCCTCTTAAAGGCCCCCAGGGTAGGAGCCGGCACCACTTTGCTTGGAAGTTGGTTCCAGATCCTAGCCGCCCTGACTGTGAAGTAGCGCCTCCTGATGTCTAGTCCGAATCTACCCTCTGCCAGCTTGTGACCGTTATTTCTTGTCACTTCTGGGAGTGCTCGGGGGAACAGGGGCTCCCCAATGCCTGCTGGTCCCCTCTGACTAGTTTGTAACAGGCCACTAGATCCCCCCTCAGACTTCTCTTGTGGAGTCTGAACAGGTTCAGGTCCCGTAGCCTCTCCTCGTAGGACCTGCCCTGCTGCCCCCTGATCATGTGGGTGGCCCTCCTCTGGACCCTCTCGATGCTGTCCACATCCCGGCGCACAGAACTGGACGCAGTACTCCAACTGCGGCCTGACCGGTGTCGCATAGAGGGGGAGGATCACTCCCTTGGATCTGCTCTAGATGCATCTGTGGATGCATGACAAGGTGTGGTTGGCCTTCCTGACTGTGTCCCCACACTGCCGGCCCATGTTCATTTTGGCATCAATAATGATTCCAAGATCCTTTTCTGCCTCTGCACTAACAAGAAGGGAGTTCCCCAGCCTGTAGGTATGCTGCTGGTTCTTCCTTCCCAGGTGCAGTACAGAATAAGGGTAAGTGAGTTTACCAGAAGTATTTCCTGAAGAGTGCGACAATAACTTAGAAAGACTGAGAACACTAAGCAACTGAGAACACTAAGTAAGTAGCTTACTGGAATGGAAGGGTATACCATGTTTCCTTTAGTTTATTGCGCACGCGCACGCGTGTGTGTGTGTGTGTGTGTGTGTGTGTGTGTGTTTAAAGACCTTTAGAATGGAAATTGTATGTACATAAAATTATATAAACTTTTTTTTAAAGACTAAAAGCTTTGCCTCATCACTCAAGCACTAGAAATAACTACAGTGAAGAGCACCTGAGCATGTCTATTTTAAGTCTCTCTTTTCACTCAGTCTTGGGCTATGTACAGTGTGTGTGTGTGTGTGTGTGTGTGTGTGTGTTTAAAGACCTTTAGAATGGAAATTGTATGTACATAAAATTATATAAACTTTTTTTTAAAGACTAAAAGCTTTGCCTCATCACTCAAGCACTAGAAATAACTACAGTGAAGAGCACCTGAGCATGTCTATTTTAAGTCTCTCTTTTCACTCAGTCTTGGGCTATGTACAGTTGTCGCAGAGCACCTCGGAGCTCTGCTCCTAGGGAGTAGAAACTGCCAGGGAGAGAGAGCCCTGGCAGGTCATAACGAGCCCAGCTGAGTGTCGCCAAGGTAACGAGCCCAGCTGCGGGTTGCCAGGGCAGCTAAGGGGAGCCAGCTGCCTGCAGGAGGCGGGGCCTGGCCCTTATAAAGCCAAGGGCTGAGACCAGGCTGGCAGTTCCCTGCCAGCAGCTGGAGAGGGAGGG